ATGACGATGAAAATGAAATAAAATAAATGAAAATAAAGAAATGAAGAAGATGAAACCACAATATAACAAAGAAATAGAATATAAATAAGAGAAATAATTAAATACTTAAATATAATAAAGAATAAATAAATAAAAGAAATAAGAAAAGGAATAAATAAAATTAAATCAATAATATATTCAAAATTAATTTAATAAATACAAAAAAGATTAAATTATTATAATAACTAAAATCTTCATTTTATCATTCATTTTTTATTTATTATATTTAAAAATATAAAGGATTTCAGAAGCCCTGTTTCTATTATAATTAAACATACTTTAGGAACTACCAAACAAAATTAATGTATTGAAATATTCCTCAGAATAATGAATAACACAAACCAATTTTATTGATACTTAATTAATTACTTTTTCTTTGTTTAAGAGATTAAATTTAAAAAATTTTTATTAAACAATAAAGAAAATAAATGTATTAAATTTAATTAACTCTACAATCCCAGATATATTTCAAGTGAGTATTTATATTCTTTAAGATCTTCTAAACTAATAAAGAAATTGACAACTCCACAACCTCCCCAAACTACACGCTCATTGGAAGTCCCTTCTTCATAAGAATTCCAATTTGAAGAAGAGTTTCACTATGTTCTTGTTTTGATAGGTTCAAGGGTCTTCTTGTGTAAATGAGGACTACCCACCAATGCGAATGTAATTCTCACTAAACAATATATCTTCATGGCATTTAATAAGATAGCCCTTGTCTGATTATCGACTTCGTATTTCATTACACGTTTATCGGCCAACGACCCAAACTTATAACACGAAGGTGTAACCCCTATCTCCTTTCTTAGAAATCAATAAACCGAGTTTAACAATCAGACCACCTTTCACTTTAATAACTGGTACTCAACTGTAATTTAGACTCACCTTTTTCAACTGAATCAAAACAAATTACTCCGAACTTTTCTTGGCTTGTTATGCCCTTAAAATTAATTCTATAGTTGTTTGGGTTATCTATTAGAATATAAAATTCTACAATTCCTTTTGCTGGATAATTTTCACGAGATCCAAATTCCTCAAAACTAGCTTGTATCAAAAAAGACAAGAACTTGCCAACCTCAAATCTTTTAGATATTCAAATCCTTTTGGTAAATAAGGAAGTCCCCCTATTTTTTAGATCTCATTGCTGGCTTACTACAACATTTAACTTGACAACATCCATTCTTGCCATGACACAACTCTTTCATAATTTTCTGAAATTTAATTTCTAAATTCCATTGAAGCAGTAATTAAAGAATTTCTAAGATAAAATTATTACTTTTAACATAAATTAATATCTTCTTTTGAAAACAATTAATTTTTTCTTCTTTTTTTGAAAAATTAAAACCAAAAAAAGAAAACAAAAATCATAAATAATCTTGTTTCACATTGTTGGGAGATTGAGCAAGTGATTGAATGATTAGTGGGTGTTTCTTCTTTAATTGTTCTAGTATTGCTCTAACTTCACCTCTCATACTATCTTTTTCATACTTACAACGTATTAAACGTGGTAATTCAATATATTTTGTCCATTCTTGAATTAAAACTACTGGAACTTCAATCAATGGTCGAATAAATTTTACTCCATATTTTTCTGTTGTGAATTGAGCAGGAATAGTAGCGATACAGCCACAAAATAGTTGGTTCATTAATAATGTTTCAGCAACATCGTCCATATGATGTCCTAATGCGATAGAGGTAAATCCATTTTCTTTTGCAAATTTTAATAAAGCCCTTCTTCTATTCTTTCCACAGTTTAAACAAAAAGTAGTACTTTTATCTGCATCTTCAATGTCTGATTCGGGCATTTGTTCTGATTGAAGTGAAATAAAAGGAACACCAAATGATTCACAAATTGTTTTTGACTGTTCGAGGTCTAATTGATAGCCAACTTGTGGGTTTGTAACATGAACAGCAACGACATCAATTGGGAAATTAACATTTTTTGAGAGAGTGGAAAGGACATGGACTAACAAAAATGAATCTTTTCCACCAGAAAATCCAATGATAATTCGGTCATGTGGTGAGATAATTTTTTCTCTTCCGTTCATTTTCCAGAATTTTGAATAGACTTTATTAAATAACCTCTTCTCTTCTTTTTTTGCTGTTTGTTTGGTTTTATCCATTATAAAACCTCTAGAAATATTTTTTAAAATTTAATGATAAAAAAAGATGAAACCTAAAAAATTATTTTGAAAAACGAAATAAATAAATCTTTATTTCAAGAGTTTTTCACATTGAGCAAGTACTTTTTGTGCATTTGGATCATTT